TATCCTCATTTAGCTTATGATATAGCCTATTCCTATAGCGTATGCTACACCTATATGGGACTATGAAATTTTAAAAACTAAATTTCTATTTAAATTCCAAAAATCGGCTGTACGAACAGTTTTATCTCTGCCCAAACGCAAATCATGTAAAAAGTTTTTCTCAGAATCGAAATGCCTCCAGCAGAACATCAATGGAATTTCAATGTGGTTTATGAAAAATGGAATGCTTTTGAATGATTTTTCGCTGCTCCAGACCATCTTGATCCCAGAACCTATTTGAAAGGGGTATCATTCTACAGCATATGCCTACAACAGCACGCTACCAAGACTACATCGTTTTGAAACAATATTTCTAAAAATCTCGAAATTTTCTCCTCAAGTTTTATTACTTTTAGGAAATAGCTGCTTGCTTGTTTCTCATAATCCTTGGTGGTCCATAATACAGTAGAGTGGTCCTATGATCCAGTTTGTTATTGAATTTCTTGTTTGCTTTCATATTTATTAAAATGTTGATACATGTTGATAGAATTTTTAAATATTATCACATTAAACCGATCAATTTATGTAATTCTAGATTTATTTACATCTTTTTATATTCAATTCTTGATAAGTTTGTTATACGTTTATTCTTGTTGATCATTGTTTTGCTTGTTAATACTATTGTTTGTTATGTATGATCCTTGTTGTTAAGTTCCGTTACGTATGTTATATGATAAGCAATGAGATGAAATGGTGTAGACCGTTAATTAATAAATAAATAAGTAAAACTATAACATTGTATAACTTTTGACCCACATGTCCTTTTATAGTGCAGTTTGTGGTAACGCGTTCTACAGGTAAATCTCTTTAATTTGATATGCATCATGGCCTATGCTTTTATTTAAGATTTTCAACTTACTCCTTGTGGGCCGACCCCCCTTGTGCGAAAAAAGTCAAGACGTACTTTAAAAGGTACTATTTTAGGTCCAGTATTGATGTGTGAATCTGCAGTCTTCTGACACAATACGTGCAGAAAAAATAAAGCGCGGGGACTTTTAAGAAACACGGACCTATTGCATACAGAAATTAAAGAAGCTTATAACTTTAACGGTTTATATCTTCCGAACTATTTAAATTAATTTAGAGATTTTCATATCATTTTGTAGCAAATTTAATTACAAATAAAATATATCATAATAACAGAAACGTACCGTTGACCGTTTGGGTGATATATAGCAAAAACTACATGTAGCGTAGAGGAATATATCAATTTTTTAACTTTAACAGTTTATATCTTCAAGACTATTTAAGTTATCGAAGTGGGTTTTATCTCATTTTATAGCAAATTTAATTGTGAACAAAACATGTTATATACAAAATGGCGTAAATGTGTCCTTTTGGTTGATATTATGCCATTTTCAATTAATAGTTCAATTCCTCCATAGAAAACAAAGATGGCGTCGTATTTCAAGATGGCGGACCTAAAAATCGGGCACCCCCCCATAAATTGTTTGTATTTAGGGTATGGAAGAAATGTGCAAAAGCTGCAGCTTTAATCCATCCGGTCACGATCATTTTGCTAAGCCACCACACTAAAAGAGACCCAGAGTGCCGCTTCAAGATAACGCTTTATTCCTCTCAGACGATTCTAATTACGATTGCCTCTTTCATTATTGTATTAACTCAAGACCTCCTCTTTGTTAGCACCCAACCCTTTAAAAATTAGGAGACTTCTTTAATATTATTCTCATAATCTTTGAGCGAGACGATAAAGGATCTATTGATATAAATTACTATAAGGTATTTATAACGTATGAAGATTACAATGTTTGTATAAAAAATGTAAAATAAACAACGTAATCTCAGTATTCGATTTAAACAGTTACAACCATGTGCGTTATGTTGTTCAAAGGTTTATTGCGGACATTTTCCATCACGAATGTAAAAAACAAACGTACACTACTTTTGCGACATATATTTTAAAGCATACAGAAGTGCACCGTCTATACGACATAAAGTTTTACAATGTTTTGCATGCACAAAAATTCACTAAAATGGGACACAAGTTTCTAAGTGTAGACACTTTATTGAAAATGTTTAAATAACATTTATACGAAATTGCGAGTGAACACCCGATTCTCGCCTCTCAAACCTTGCAACCTTGTTTTTCGGTGTCATGGACGAATAATTTTAGCAAATCAAACGAACGTACGTAACGCTGTCCACGGCTTTTCAACCATTATGCCAACTTTGTCAATACCCTTGTCCTTCTGAATTGTTCACCGTCATATCAAACTCAAGTATGGTTGTTGGAAACTGCGTGCGTTGCATAGCAAAGTAAATTGCAGCATCAGATGGACTCAAATATATTCTCGGTATAACAACTCGTTGTCCCGAAGACGCTCTATCACTTATACGTCAATAGTGAGTGCAAATGCTGTACTCTCGATCGCGTTCCATTGATCAATTCTTTAACAGTGTCTAGATTTCTTATAAGCATGACGACCACGTTAACATCGAGTTTTAATTTGTGAGGTGGTAACCCATTTACTTCAATACTGTTGGAAATCCGGAGGGGAAATTCAGTTGCTCCGAAATTACGGTAAATTCCAATTATGTCAAATTATATGATATGACAAGTTGTGAACTTTCCGGGCATTATTGGTATCATCTATTCATTTACAGAATGTGAGAATTAATTTTTAGTAGAAAGGATTGCTTGGTGTGTTATTGATTTGCTTGCTTTAGCTCAAGAAGAATGGGTAGTGTGTAAATGATGGTTAATATAATTTACCTTTGTAGCAGTACAAGAAAGAATGTGAGGCATTCCAGTCGGGTTTCTCCTTGTCAAAATGCTTTGCTGTACAGGTAACACAGGTCAGTGCTAGAGGGCCAATGATGAAGGAAAAGTCATATCGGGGAAGTGTCAGGGCGCATTAGTAACCCAATAGTTGAGGTTGCTCAGATGCTGACTGTGCTGCGTTATTACGTTCTATTGCCTTTTGGTTTCACTTGTTTTCAAGATGACACCACCCGGCAATGATTCTAATTAAACATGATCTTTATTGCATTCATTAAGGTTTTCACTTTTTATCTGACACTTTTACTAAATAACTTCATTTATTTTCACAATCCCCACCAAACACCCACTGTTCCGGTAACACACTTCCAGCATTGTTCATTCGTCTGACAAATAAACCTTCGTCTATTTCAACTATAATTTACTTCTATTTCAACAACATTACTACTTTACTTAACATTCCTACCTATTTTTCCAATATTTTTCTTTTCTAGAGCATCTACTCATACTTCCCTTATGTAGTTGTTCCAACCTACTTCGGTGTACCTATTTATTCCTAATTTCCTTGCACAAAAGTCTATTGATGTTAGTTCTTCACGCCTACAATATATGAATCGAACTATGGTGGTGAACTGTAATCTACTTTCCTCAAACCAATTTCCAACTCGTATATCTGTTTCTCTTTTGCATGCTTTGTATTTCCTGAATGGGGTTTCTTCATAAAAAAAATACTATATATCATATCATGGCCATTGGATCTGTCCCTATGGCTTCTGAGGTGAGGATTTTGAAAGTAAATATTGATTTGTCTCCATGGCTGCAATGAGAATACTCAAAATGTTTTCATTTGCTTTGACATCTCAATGTAAGCAAGAAGAACTGCAAAATTGCCAAATTTCACAATTTCTGACAGCTCATCCAAAGAAATAAAACATAATATTTTTTACCTAACCCGCCATGTTAAACTTCCCTATCACAAGCGTGGTGTAAAGATTAAAGAAACCCATTTAAATAACATTGAGTGCTTAACTTAAAAAATATACCTCTATGGAGCCAACGACGTTCAACGCTAGAAATCAGCTGTGCGCTTGAATGTTATTGTTATGCTTTAAAGTATTTTCCTAACTTAGCTTTTATTTGTAAAAGAACGTTACTGTTAGAAGATGAGTGAAATGGATAATGAAAATATTGTACACAAACCCATGTAAATTGTCGGGTCAGGTAAAATCTTGTACGTTACACGTTACGCAAGAGCGTGTTTACATCACTTCGGTAAATTATTCAACTCGCTTACGCTCGTTGCACAACATTCACCTGCGTGATGTAAAAACGCTCTTACTACACTTGTAAGGTAAATAGCTATTACTACATTCTTATGAGTTGACCTGTTTTCGTTATGTGTTTACAACCAGCGAAACATCATATTTTCAACAGCTGTCTATTGTTTACTACCGAAAGTAACATTGCTTACAACCGAAAATTGTACATTGTCAACAACTTCAAATATTTATTATTGTTTTATCAACTGTTTCAATTTTCAACAACTCAATTTTCAACCACTAAAGTAAATATTAACTATTGAAGACATAACCTAAAAAATTCTATGAGCTTTGTAATGAAGAAAATAACTATTCTGTGTAGTGTAGCGAAATGTAACGTTCAAAACACGAATTAAAGTGGGTCTATACTTATCCTCGACCATTTAATGAGCCGAATCTAAAATTTAATTTGAAAAAGAATCTCGGAGTGGGTAATAATTCGGTTTCAAAGATTGTACTAGTCGAGTCTTGGGGTTTCGCCTGTAATTTTAGGCCTGCCTGAACGCGGCAGGTCCACAACACTTCGAGTATTCTTGAAGGTATTATTCCAAAGCATGATGGAATTATTATAGCTTGGGGCTTGCCTCCCGTAGTACATTCTGAAACGTCTTTGAACTTAGATTGATTCGAATCGAAGGTGAATTTGATTCGTGAAACCACAAGACAAATTGAAAATTTTATTCCTTTGTTTCCATTTTTACAACTGATATATCTTCATAAAATACACAAAATATACGTAAATTAATTGGTAAACTTTATTGTAGAACTAATTCAACACAAAAGATAAATGTAAACAATAACAGATAAAAACAACAATAATCATCTGATTATTTATTATTATTCTGATTATTCTTCTTGAACAATCATCTGATTATTTAAGCATATGACAATCCTCCCCCCTATTAAGCTGCTCTTAGTTGGTCGCAGTGTCTCTTAAATAACCGCCCGTCTTCTGATTTAACGAGGTACATCACATGCCCAAGCGGCCTTTCTACTGTTCCTGTTGACCACTTTTCTCCTGAGATGTTTGAGTAATTTCTCATTAATACACCTTGTCCCTTTGAGAAACTTCTTCTAGTTATAACTTGACTTTTATTTTGCGGGGTAGGTTTAATCTCAACCATTAAGTCCATTTCGGTTCTTATGTTTCTCCCAAACAAGTATGGAGATTGTCCTGTCGCCGAATGGCGTGTCTTCCTTAGCTGTTTCAGTATCATGTTTATCTTATCCTCATTGTGTCCTCCCCCACAAGCATGTAAGAGGTTCTTCACCGTTTGAACTACCCTTTCTGCTTGACCATTATATTTCGGACAAAAAGGAGCGATGGTTTTATGTGTTATTTGATATTTCTTGAAGTAATTTTCAAACAAAGTTGATGTAAACTGAGACCCGTTGTCTGAAACGAGGACATGAGGAAAACCGAATGTTGCAAATAGTTTGTCTAGTTGTTTTAAGCACCAGTCAGTTGTTGTCGATTTAGTCGGGATCACCTCTACCCATTTACTGTAAGCATCGACAACAATGAAGTAACTCCAGCCTTTTAGTGGTCCTGCAAAGTCTACGTGAATACGTTCCCATGGCCCGCTTGGAGGTTCCCATGGATGGATCGTTTCCTTAGGTGGACTTTTGAGTTTCTGTTGGCATGAATAACAATGTTTGACTAAATGTTGTATCTCCTGATCAATATTTTGCCAATAGCAGTAACTTCTAGCCAGAAGTTTCATCTTCGTCATGCCCATATGACCGGCATGCAACTAGTTTAGAACTTGTTTTCTTAATGTTAAAGGTACACAGATTCTATTCCCTCTGAACACACAGCCATCCATTAAGCAAAACTCATTGTCACTTAATCCAAATTCTTTTAAACTCTTCCCTGTGTTTAAATAGTGTAATAACACTTTGAGATTTTCATCTTTCCTTGTTTCCTCTTCAATCTTTTTTCTTGTCACTGGCATTGCTTCCACTTGATTTATCAGGTACTGCTCGTGATCATCAATTACATTTTCTGGAACTTCAGGGATTGGAAATCGAGATAAGAAATCTGCATTAGCGTGTTCTGTTGTATTGCGGTATTCAATCGTGTAATCAAATCCTGATAAAAAGTGAGCATAATTAAACATTCTCGAAGGTAAGGTTTTTGCAGGATCAAAAATTGAAACGAGGGGTTTGTGATCTGTTATTAGAACAAAATGTCTTCCATAACAATAGGCGAAAAATTTCTTCAAACCCCAGTAAATTCCTACAGCTTCTTTGTCGATTTGGCTGTACTTTCTTTCTGCTTTTGTGAGAGTTCTTGGGGCGAATGCTATTGGTTTCTCTGATCCATCTTGGTATCTGTGAGATAAACAAGCACCTAAGCCAGTAGGACTCGCATCTGTAGCAAGTACCAATGCTTCACTCGGATCATAATGAGCTAATATTCGTTCACTGGTGATTTCAGCTTTGATCTTCACAAAGGCATCTTCGCACTCTTTATTCCATGTAAACTTCTTTCCATGTCTTAGTAGATTGTTTAATGGTTCCATGTTCCATAGGTTGACATGTTAGGCACAAATCGTGTGTAGTAATTTGTGAGTCATAGGAAACTTCTTAGTTGAGTAATATCTTCTGGTCTCTTTGCTTTACTTATAGCTTCGACATTTTCAGGTGATTTATGAAGGCCATTCTCGTCTATAACATGACCTAAATACTTTACACTTTTCTTGAAGAATTTGCATTTGTCCCGATTCATTCGTAAGTTGTACTGTCTAATTCTTTGAAAAACTTCTTTTAGTCGACTCATAGTTTCTTGGAATGTGCTCCCTTGAATAAGTATGTCGTCAAAGAAACATACAGTGCCTTCTAGTCCATGGAGAACCTTGTCCATAAATCGTTGCCATATTCTTGACGCTACTGTTATGCCGAACATTAGGCGATTTACTTTGTACAAACCTAAATGAGTACTTATGGTTTGTATTTCTCTTGATTCTTCATCCATTGGAAGGTGCAAATAGGCATTACTAATATCCAAGGTGCAGAAAAATTTCCCTTTGTTCATGTGTGTAAAAATGTCTTCAATGCGAGGGATAGGGTACTTTTCATCTAATATTAGTTTGTTGGCTGTTACCTTGTAGTCAGCGCAGAGCCTTACACTTCCATTAGGCTTTGTTACGGGAACAATTGGTGTTCCCCATTGTGAGTTTTCAACTTTAGAGATTATACCACTGCTCTCTAGTCGATGTAGGCCTAGCTCATCTTCAACAGCTTTCCTTAGAGCATAAGGTACTTGTCGTGGTTTGAAGAAAATTGGTTTTGCCCCTTCCTTTAGCTGTATATGTCCTTGTTCTGAATTTATTTCACCGATTTCTGCCTTAAAAATGTCTTGAAAGTTTGTTAGGAGTTTATCAAGTTCCTCTGATGTGTTAGTATCCGTAAGTTTTATGTCAGCCCAATCCATCTTGACTTCTCGGAGCCACTCACGTCCAAAAATTGGGTCTACATTTTGTTTTAAAACATAGAGCTTCCCATGAAAACTGAAATTGTGGTACTTGCACTCAACAAAACAGACTCCCACAGGCCTTATAACTTCTCCAGTGTATGTTCTCATTTCCACTTCCGTCTTGAATAGACGTTTATTAAGTTCAAGTTTAAGAAAATCACTGTATGATAATGAGCTCAACGCCGCTCCATTATCAAGTTCCATATTCAATGACTTGCCTTCAATAGAAACGTTAATTATAAACTTGTCATTCACATTTGGGGGGCTATTTTTGAAAACGGTGAGTGGTGAGTCGTGTTTAGTTACTCAAGTCACCTATTCACCAGATTCGGTATTTTTTAAATCCGTCAGGCGAGTCGTGAGTTGTGAATCCACTGCCGATTTACTCGTTAGCAAGTAGAACTGGCAACACCGCAAATCTGGAGAGTGACGTCACGATTCAGACGTCAACGCCACATTTCCGTTTCCCCATCTTGGATTCTATTTGAATGCGAATTAGGCGCTGGTAACCTGTTAAGTGATATTTTGTTTAATATCCTTCGCAATGTCGAAAATGAACGAATCCCAGAGGGATTTTTAATCTCTTTTATGGAAACCCAGCCTAAACTTGCCAAATCCTCATTCGACTTATCTTTTGATAAACAAAAAGCAAAAAAGCTATGGTTGGAGTTGGCCGATCGCCTCAACGCCATGGGAGGGGCATATAAAAATGTGAAGCAATGGAGAAGGGTAAGTAAAAAATGTATAAGTTTAATCCAACTATTTATTAATTGTATAACAATTTTTTGTAAAACTGTTCTTAAACTGAATACAGTAATAAGAACGTTGTATGCATAGTTGTATGCATATACTGCATAGTTATCTAATAGGTTATGGCAGTTTAGGCTGCAAAGTTATTTGCCTTAAACTTAACTTTGTCTTGTCTAAGTTAATTTAACTTTAGAAAGGAACATGCTTACAGTTGAACTTTGGCCTAGTAATTAAAAACTTATCTACACCATTTGTAGATAGTTGATTGTTTTAAATGTTTCTGCTTACCACTTAGGCCTACTAGGCACCGCACTAGGCTGCTTTAGGCTCTTTGTAGGCATAATGATGAATCATAATCTTGATTAGGCTAACAACATGGCTTTAACTTATAAACGACTACTCTTATTTAGTGACAAACGTTTCGGTTTGAGAATCGAGTTGCTATATTAGTCTATCCTCGCATTGAAGCCTAAGTTATGTAACATAATTTTGAATCAATAAAATAAACTAAGCCAGTCCCCATAAAGCATGAGATTTAAGTTAACCAACCACAAATAAATCGAAAATAAGTACAGTATTGAGATGTAAATCCCAGACGGACCTTCTTATTTCATTTATGAAGAATCATCCGAAGCTTGCAAAATCGTCTTTTGACAAGCAGAAGGCGAGAAAACTGTGGTTGGAATTGGCCAATCGCTTAACAGCATAGAAGTTTAATGTTGCTTACACAAACATTATTTTCTGTTTTTGTTACCGGTACCTTTAAGCTATAGGCCTATAAACTGTATCTTGTTTTCCACTATGCCAAACTAAGTGATCACAGTTGCTCTTGTGGGGAGTACATGAACTAACTTAAATAAATGACCTTTATATTAAGTTAGACAGACAGCCTTAACATTTTGAGGTCAAATTTCTTCAAGGAAAATGACTTCCTGTAGCCTACGATGATATGAAAATGAATAAAATACATCTTGAATTATGTACGACAGTTTTGGGCCAAGACTCCATTTTAGTAATAGGCCTAATGTTCTCGAATGAGGTCTAAGTTTATTACCTACCCTACGTTTTTAGTAAATAGTACTACCATAAAGATAAGACCTTTTGTCCTGGAAAAGAAAACCCTACCTTCAAATTTATATTATTGCAGACTTGGACGGATCTCAAAATTGCAACCAAAAAGAAGGCTGTACATTCGAAAAAAAGAAGCCACGAAAACTGGAGGCGGGCTGGTGGAAAGTGACAGCGATGAGTATGACGACACAGAAGCTGCTGCTCCAGTAGTCCCAGGCACTGGTGCTCCAGAGAGTGTCGCAGGTCTCATCTGCCGGCACTCATGACAGAATCCTGTCCTTGATAGGGAGAACGGCAGTTGAGGGGATGAAAGGAATTAAGGAAATAGGAGTGAGTATACAAAATTGCAAATAGTTTTTACTTTTTAGTGAATTTCCTTATAAAGCAGAAGCTAACTTATTAATTTGTAGGTATGCTTTGTAGATGTAAAACTCCCTGGTGTGGATTAACATCCACACAAGTGAATACTCCAACTATCCGCAGTACTATCCTGATAATTAGACCAATTTGTATATACCAAGGCAAAATCGTGGTTCCGATTCCACTATAAACTGTAGGTCTCTTAGTTGCCATTATCTGTATGGGCTATTAACAGCTATGTCTAAGTAATATGTCGGCCTTAGTATTTACAAGACTACAAGATCGCGCCACTCATCATATACTCATCTCCATTCATACTTGGCTTAAAATAACTGCTTTGAATGGTCGCCATTTCATTAAAAAGTATTACCAAGGTGTCAGGCGTCACGGCAAAACCTTGGGGGGGCATAATACAGTTTTCCTCCCTATGAGCCAAAAACACCAGTCGTCCGAATTTGTATGGACACATAACTTATATGTTTTAAAAGTGTTGGTAAGCACAATAACTTTCGTAAACATTTGGATCAAATTTTCGTCACAAAGGTGAAGTCTCACCTCTATTTGGTCGAGTTTTGTTAGCCAGACTGTAAAAAGGGGGGTCTTTTAAACCCAAAAAACATTTTATAAAGTTTTTCAGAGATATGGAGAGCGGTAAACACAGTATGTTGTCTGCCATGTTATTCTAATGGTGGACAAGTTAATTCACTTGAATTGAATTATAAGTTTTTATTTACAATTGTGAGACTTGGGTACATACATTAATTTATTTTATATAAGCTTACCATGTTTATTATATGTTTGATGTTTTTCTCTCCCTCTAGCAGCAGATTTGCTAACTCATGTGCCAGGTATTGAAAACTAGTTACATAAAATACTTTTTAAATAATTTTTCAAATTTTTGGTTTTTTAAATTTTGGTGTCAATAAAAATATAAATTAATGGGTGTGCATGTTTCTCTGTAGATAAGTTTTTTTTCTATTTGTAATTATATGATATATTTTACAGATTGAGCAGATCCTAGATTACGACTCTGATTCCCCCGATTATCCCCCAATGGCACAACAACCTAAAAGAGCTAGGCTTGTGCTTGATAATGGTAAGGAGCTTTAAACATTGAGTACACATTATTCATGTTTTCCAAATTAATAACTTAACTTTTACAGAAATAGTATTCAATAACTTGCCAGCCATGTACGGTAATTAACATGTGCTACCATTGGCTAAACACAGAATTCTGTGTACTGTATAGTCAATGGTACTACTAATTCATTAGTATGACAGTAAAAAGTTTAAAAGTTTGCATTTAATTTAAAATGTAGTTTGTCTATTTAATTTGCAATCACCCTGTATAATGTACAACGACTTCGGGTTATGTATTAGGTTTTCAGCAAGTAATCGTTGAATTTTTGTTTTGTTTTTTAGAAACATACTCTGGAAGAGAACCAAAAACTAAGCAAGATGTGGCGAGGCAGTTGTTGAAGAATTCAACAAAAAGCTAGAAATAGCTAAACAGTCTGCAGACGCCTTAACCTCTTTAGCTGACTCAATGGCAAAAATCGCTGACTGCTTTGTGCAGTACTGCCAGAATCGGCAATAGGACTTTTATGTTTTGTTCTTATTTTTTCTTATTTTTTTTATATTAAATGGAATTGTTTTTGTGATAAAACTGGGTTTTCTTTTTTTTTTGTATTAATACAATACAACACACTCCATGACCTCAAGTTAAGTAATTCAAACCAATAGTAAAAAGTAGAGAAATGCGTTAACTGTAGTAAAAATAATTTAAAAGTTATTTCAAAGTTCTCTTAACCCTTTGACAATTCATGCATAACGCCATAGACAAAAAGAATTAAATATAGGCTATCAGCCATGCAGCAGTTACCATAGGTTCTGGCGCACACCACTGGGAGCGCTGTGTAGTTACGAAGCGCGTACACCATAGCTACATGGCGCTCCCAGCGGCGTGCACCAGGACCTATGGTAAACGCAGCACAGCTGATAGTCTATATTTAATTCTCTTTGTCTATGATAACACTCAGTCATAGAATTTAGTTGGACCAAAAGTATAAGGGGGCATTCCCACAATTGTTATTTGTGAAACTGGTGTGCAAAGTGGCACTTTACTGTACATGAGAGAAATGTTTCCACACAAGCCGCAAGCGAGTGTGAAAAGTTTCTCGAGAGCAGCAAAGACACTTTGCACTAACGTTACACATTATTTTTTCCCACAGTCACTAAAAAGCATATAAATAAAATAGGACGGCACTCGCTCCACTTCCTAATATTGATAATTGGATAGTATATTTTACAGCTATAAAGGTGTATAAAGAAGGTACCTAAACTGTATTTTATTCTATACACAAATATATTTTTTATATTGTGTGTATATTGCCCAACAATGTATGTATGCAGGTGTATAAGGGAGGACATTAAATTCTTTTTTTTACATTTAACAGATTGCTATTGTCAACTAATAGAAGATGAAAATCTTAGCTGTGGCAAAGCACAGTGTTTTTTTTTTTTTTAAGATAATACATCCTGTTTATATGTGCTTAGATATTTTGAACTGTCTGTATTTTAGGTTAACTGTGCCAAGTTATCATCCAATTAACACTTATTATTATAATTATTTTTCGGTCTATGGGCTTTAAGATTAAAATTAATTTTGGGAGTCCTTTTAAGCAATTAATTTGGCTATATCTGAAAAAGTGCAGGCCTCTCAGTCAAGCTGGGTTATCATTAGCCTAGTTATTGACTTATGCTAAAGCCTATGCTATTCAGTAATAAACTTTTTTTCAAATAAATTAACAACTTTTTATTGTAATATTTTCAGAATAAAAAAAGACCTAATTAATTTTGTTGAAAATTGTAAGCCTATTGGAGTTTTCTGTCTTAGAAACGAAGGCCAGCCCACTAATCGGGTAAAGTCTCACAAAAAAATAAAAACATAAAGAAATTATTTACAAAAGAGTAATATAAATAGAGTAGCAAGAAAGAAATTGTATATGATTAAAAGTAAGTTTGAACAATTCTGTTCCTTATGGCTACAGCTCTTTCATAATTAATAATTGGTTCAACGTCATCAGGTACAATTTCATCATTGATCAAATTTGCATTGTTAATGATCAACGGGACGTTGTTGTCAATGCATAAATTGTGAAGAGCTGCACAACAATTTATTATTTTTGCAGCTACAGGGGGGTAGTAGTGTAAGGTTCGTGCTTTTAAGAGGCAACGAAAACGGTTCTTCAAAAGGCCAATGGTACATTCAACAGAAGCTCTGGCTCTTTTCAAGCTTCTGTTAAACTGATCCTCAGGGCTCCCTTCCCTGGCATTTTCGAACGGTTTCATCAGGAATGGCTCCAAGCCGTAGCCACTATCACCTAGAACAAAATTAAAAAGGAAAGGATGAGGAAAAGGAATCGGGGGAAGTATTTTAGGAGAGGGAAACTGAAATTTAAGGTTTATGACAGTGGTTAATGAGAATAGACGATTGCATCTTCAGAGTAAGGTTTCATCAGGACTGACAGTGAACTAATTCTATAACTAGATTACATCACAGGCTCCCAGACAAGGGCCCTCATCATTCAGTCTTTCACTCTAGATTGGCAGACCTTATGAGTTTGCCAGGTTATTCCCTCAAGGGATTAGGCCTGGCATGACAAGTTTAGTAGCTGTTCATTCTGAAATCCAAACACACTTTATTTATAAAATAAAATGCCATATCTAATGGTATTAATTAATGGCCTCTGTGTTAGCATGCATTGCTAAGGAAGTTATTTAAGGCAAGTTAAAAACTTTAAATCAATATTTCTATGAGTCAAATGTAATGTAACTTTACGATTCCCTCCCCATTGAGAACGTTTGGAAATTAACTTGATACTTTACCTATTAACCATGTATTCCTTAAACCCTGATGATAAAGGCGGGTTAGGTGACGTTTGACATGGCTTTGATGCCAAATAAAGGCGTCGTGGCTACTTCCTGGGAACCTTGCCCAAATGGACAAGATCTTTCTTTCAGAATCTGATATCTACAAAAGAAAAAGATTTTGTGAATGAAAACTATAAAAGAAAATAGAAATAGCTATTTACATTACGTGTAGTAAGAGCGTTTTTACATCACGCAGGTCAATGTTATACATATAACAAGCGGTACATAATTCTCCTAAGTGATGTAAACACGCCCTTGCGTAACGTGTAAGGTTACGAACAATATTTTTCATTAATCATTATCCATTTCAACTCATCTTCTAACAGTAACGTTCATTTACAAACAAAAGCTTTGTTGTCTAGCGTTAAACGTGGTTAGCTTCATAGAGATATATTTTTGAAGTTAAGCACTCAATGTTATTTAAATGGGTTACATTACATCACCGAGTGAGTTTTTCTCAACTTTACATCAATCGTGAAGTAAAGAAGTTGTATAGGCCTACATCACGCTTGGGATAGGGAAGTTTAACATGGCGGGTTGGGTAAATATACTAAATATTGACAGGACATTATTTAAGTTAGTCTAATGCATTCTAAAGCATATTGTCAAATTTTGTTAGAGCAGTAAGAGGATGCATTAATTTCAAAAAAATATCTTCCCTTCTTTAATCATTGCACTTATTAATAAATGTAGGATATTAATGAAATATTTAAAATATTTCTTTTACCAATTTCTAATCAGGAAGTAGGCCTATCATATTATATACCTAGTTGCAAGACATCATAAAATTGAAATAGGCCCTAACATAGTTTTTTGTTAAGAATTCCAAGTTCTACTATTTTGTTATCAGTATTGAAAAAATTAAGTTATTAACTTACTATCTGAGTGTTAATAGAATGGAAATTCTTTCTGTTAACATAAATAATATGTTCTGGATGCTCAGGATCGTTTTTGGGCGGAGAAGTTATGGCAACATGAGTGCCATCAATAGCACCAATAGTGCCAGGATAGCGATACTTCTCCCAAAATCTACAGTAAGTCAATACAACATCCAATTATGATTTAGTACATTCTAAGAAAAAAATCAATCAAGATCTGTTAAAATTAAATCATGATTAATAATAGTTAAAGTAATAACCCTAAAATACGATTCCTCGCCACATTTTTTAAAACAGTGTAAAACATTTAACTGATTTTATTATTATTGTGTGCCACTATAGCTTTTAAATTTGGAATGAGAAAACAGTTTAGCCTGGCTTAAGTAGAAAATCATACCAGTACAGTATATGTGTTCAAAGAATAATTGCCATTATTGTATCATTAATCACTTAGCTTATAACTGTTTTTAAAATTGACAATTTTCAAGTTAAGCTTAGTTAACGCTTGCTAAATACTGCTGGCACAAGAAATGTGAACTAGAGTGCCCACAGCAAGACAAAAATCGGTCAGCCCCCAGACATGAGGCTACTGTCGTCGGGCGACTACTGCCAGATCATTTAAATAAAACTAGCCTAACTTATTTCAGACACAACCATCAATTGCCATATTTTTTTAATGTAGCCTATTAAGTTAATAGCAAATTAAAGTGTGGTACTGAGGTCATTGACTTGTGTTAATGATTTCCTTAAAAAGGTTAAGGCTAAGTTAGTGGCTTATCTAATAAGTGTAGATTCCTTAAGTTGCAACCATTAAAACAATTTTGTTGACAAAGAGACTAACTTACCCTAACCAACATTAATATCTTAACACGTTCGCGGCGGCACGTCAAATGGCGGGCGTATCCCCAGTGCAGCGCAGCCTTCAGCGCCGAACAAACCCGATTGCTGCGTGTGATTGGCTTTCCAATTTCGGTCTGACGAATAGCAAATAACGTGCGAGGATGTCCTGCTTTACAACGAGAGTTGACGTAGTTCGCTAAACACCCACAGAAAGCAGCTCTGCTTGGAACGTAGCCGGTCCCATTGGAATTGTATTGCCAATTGGAGGGAAAAAGACGGGACAAAAAGTAGATTTTAAAATTGTCAAACGGGGATTTTACGGGGAAATTTACTACCAACCTACACCATAACAAAATACAGTATACTATTGAGCAGTTCTGTGCGAGGTTTCAAGTTTCTAGCTCTAATCTTGGCTTAAAAATAAAATCATTTCGTACCGCATTGTAGCTTGGGAGGGATCGCACCCACCAGGATGGCATTAGGGTTCCTATGGGAGCGATCGCTCCCATGCCGCTGCGAACGAGTTAAGGTCTTATTTTTTAAACTAAATTCAAAACTAAACTAAGATAAATTCTATCATGATCACTGACTCTTATGTCACTTGGAATGGCACTGGAACGATGTGCTACTGGCAGTCTGGGCTCTAGCTCATAACAAAGGTCTCGAGCAAGAGGTTTTGTAAGCCTAAACAGCTTTACAAATCTTCTATCTTGCAGATCCCACGGCGACAGCCTGTTGTTGAAAACGACAGGTCCTCTGTCGTAATCTTCAAACTGAAAACAATTCATTGTTATGAATCACTCAATCACTTTTGTATAGAGCATAGCCTACCAATCTTTTATTTAATATGTCCATAAATAAATAAGACAAATATTTGAAGGTTAACCTAACCTAACTAACCAAACGATATATCGAATGAAACAATCGATATATCGATCGATATTTTCGTTCGGATGAGTGTCCTAGGCCTAGGGCCTAAAGTAAATTGAATTAAATAAGTTACCTACTTACTTAGCCAAAGCTGGCTCTTTAGTTTGATGGTGGAGATCAAGATGCTAGGCCTATTCTATTTGGTTAAATAAGTTATGTTAAAAAAAACCGTAAGCTAAGTCTAGATTAGGGCTAGCCTATATGATGAAGATATTTACTTACCTCTGCACCCAAGTTTTCGAGAAGAAATCTCAGGCCTATGTTAGGGTGGAGATCCATCAAGAATGAACTTCAGTACTATACTATACTGTATAGCTAATTGCAACTATAAACTAAATTTCACCTAAATTTAAATATTAATTGGTTATTTAGTTAATCAACTTAATATTTACAAACTATCAGGACACTCGGCAATATGGCGGCGGCAACGACGGCGAGGTTGAGTTTGACAGGGAGAAGAAGAAAAAAGTGCACTCGTTAGTCGACTCACTACCAAATTTTGTGGTGAGTGGAAATGTTTGTTTGGTCACCTGAAATCTCGTCAGTCAACGTTTCAAAAATACGAAACGAGTGAGTCGTGACTGACTCCACTCACGACTCACCACTCACCGTTTTCAAAAATAGCCCCCCAGGTGTCCCCATCACGTAAACCTCATGAACGTTGTCATTATCATCTTCAACATCAATTTTATTTGATTTTAACTTGTAAGCATTCTCGCTTGCATTGCTAACCCTGTTGCGTGTGAGACAAACATTCGCAATCTTGTTACACTTCCTACAAAATTCATTTTTAAATTTGCAAGTATCAGCTTTATGTTGAGTACTGCCGCATCTGTAACATTTACCTCTTAAATCTTGAAAGGTAATATGCGGTTTGATTTCATTTCTACTCTTTCTTGTTAACCCAGATTGTTTACTCACATAGTTAACATCCTTAGTTTGTTCTGTAACGTAATGAGAGTACTTAGGTTTTATTGCATAACTTTCCAGTTTAGACTGTTCAATAGAAATGGCCATTTATACCACTTCTTTAAATGATAGTGTGTTTCCTTTTTCTCGAAGAAGCCTAACTCTCACTTCATTATCTCTTAATCCGCGTATGAACTGCATCTTCAAGAACATATCACAAACTTAATTAACGTTATGCATATGACAACAACGAATACAATAATTGTATCTTCTGGTATTACACCCTGCAATGAAAATATAGGTTCCTAACATATTCACAGAAAACTTGATAGAATCAGCTGTGGAGCCTCATATGTAAAACATGTATAACCTCGTCGATTCTACAAAAAAAAAACCTTAAATATGTTTCCAAACCTAATGAAAACCCAAAAGTGTAAATTTTTAATTATATGTTGTGTATATTACAAAAATAAATATTAAATCCGACGTATTGGCATTGTTTCGACGCGACGTTAAGATTGTATTTTACGAGTATGAGACACGCGTGTATGGAACCTTTTAGAAATACGAGTATTGCTGTGAGTTATATCGGCACTTTTGTCTTCTTAAATTAAGTTACCTAAAAAACGTGTATCATCTTGTCACCAAATTGAAAGTAATTAACTGTACACACCATGAAACGTAAAACATACTGTTGGCGTGGATACAAACAAAAAAATTAATAAGTTTACGATTTCATTGTAATACAAAGGGTTGCTTGGCTAAGCCGTCTATTTTGCCAGTTCCCTAGACTGTTAGTAGTGGTCGGGTAATACAGTGGCCATGTTAATGAATATTTAACTATTGGGCTGCTGGGTATTGTCCTGCTGGGGCTTGTTGTTTAAATATTCTTAATAGAAAATGTTTGTGATCATTAAACGACTACGTCCATTCTTAAAGACGACCACAACGAAATAGGTATAAATAACAATTACTTTGTCCTTTCTAATATTGTAGAGGCTTGTAATACATACAGGAAATATATTCGATGAAGATTTAAAACTAAAATGCTACGAGCAACACTACTCCAAATTAATTTAAAAACTATTTTGTTGTTCTTTCATGTCAAAACTAATAGAACGGAGGCTTGTCTATACCCCCTCCCGCTACCTCGGTGGTAATTTTCGAAATACAGGGTGATTTGTACTCAGTGTGACAACATTTTTTTGGTGTAAGTACAAAGTAAATGAAGTGTGATGATGCATATCAAATGTTCCAAGTCTAAAAATTAGCTTCCCAAAAAATTATTTTATGTTTTTCAAAAATAACCATGTTTTTAAACTTAATACAGCGATTTCTCAATTACCTGTATATGGATTTGAGTAGATAATGTAATTTTCGTGTTCTACATTAAATTTTAAACAAGAATAATAGAAAATGACGGAGGATCAGTTTTAAAAACTCCATTGTCTTTCTAAAATAAAAAAAATAAAAAATATATATTTATTTATATTAAAAAATAGAAATAGAAAAGTAGTTTACAAAGACAATGGTTATGAGCCCAGCCACACTTTATCTTATGATGTATTAAATTTGTTTGTAAAGAAAATGGATATTACTAAGATAAATATTTCACCTTTGGAAAGCAAGAAGAATTGGACTGCATGGGAGTACAAAATAAAGGCATTGTTAAGAACTGTACCTAATGCAAAGGCCGGTTTTGTATAGCCTAGTAACACTTTTTTTATTTCAGTGTCATGTGGATTCAACGTAGTTAAACGCCACAGCCTTTATTGCAAGTTGTATGATGAAGCTTGGGATACCCTCATTATTAATCTACAAAGAATCCTACATTTTCAAAAAGTTTCAATTAGGACTATGCTTAAGCTTCCTGATGAGTATCATTGTAAAGATCATTTTTGTAATCTGAAAATTATGACTGTCTTTAGTCTTTATATTTATAGAACAGTATTACATGTAAAAAATAATGAAGAGACTTGGCCAAGACAACGAAATGCTCATACATATATGATACAAGAAATCGGAAAATTTTTCAAATTAATACTTCAAAAAAAGCAATTTTAAACAAAAATCCAACTGTTTCTGGGATAAAATACTACAACTACCTTCCTGAAATCATAAAATCTGAAAAGAGTTTGATATGCTTTGAAAGGAAATTGAAAAGATTTCTTGCAGCCAAAGCGCTATACAGTTTTGAGGAATTTTTTAGTGTTTAAGATCATTTAAATAAATATTTATTTTATATATATACAGGGTGATTTGTACTCAGTGTGACAAAATTTTTTTGGTGTAAGTACAAAGTAAATGAAGTGTGATGATGCATATCAAATGTGTCAAGTCTCAAAATTAGCGTCCCAAAAAATTATTTTATGTTTTTCAAAAATAACCATGCTTTTAAACTTAATACAGCGATTTCTCAATTACCTGTATAGGGATTTATTTTCGTGTTCTACATTAAATTTTGAACAAGAATAATGGAAAATGACGGAGGATCAGTTGTAAAAACTCCATTGTAAATAGATTCAAAGATAAAAATTAAGATATTTGATAACAATTTTTAAAACAATGGTCTATTGCATTTTTCACACCCTGTATACAAGAATGTGTCGGAATATGTTAAAAACTGTGCCATTTTATAAGCTTTCCAACGATATGCTACACTATTGAGGTTTATGTCTGCTTATGTACGCTTTAATGGTTTGAAGACTACAAAGCATGGTGTCTTTAACATTTAAAACATAGAAAGTCGGCATGTATTAAGCAAAAGTTGTATTTTTGATTCAGCTTGAACAGTAAAAACAGTAAAAAAGTTCCCTGTTTTCTGGTATTCAAACCACTAAAACAAACAAACAAATATCTAAACCTCAATAGTGTAGCATATGGTTGGAAAGCTTATAAAATGGCGCAGTTTTTAACATATTCCGACACTTTCTTGTATACAGGGTGTGAAAAATGCAATAGACCATTGTTTTTAAAATTTTTATCAAATATATTAATTTTTATCTTTGAATCTATTTACAATGGAGTTTTTACAACTGATCCTCCGTCTTTTTCCATTATTCTTGTTCAAAATTTAATGTAGAACACGAAAATGACATTATCTACTCAAATCCCTATACAGGTAATTGAGAAATCGCTGTATTAAGTTTAAAAGCATGGTTATTTTTGAAAAACATAAAATAATTTTTTGGGACGCTAATTTTGAGACTTGGAACATTTGATATGCATCATCACACTTCATTTACTTTGTACTTACACCAAAAAAATTTTGTCACACTGAGTACAAATCACCCTGATGTATAATGTATCAGTTTTCTATCTAGTTATTAGGCGATATAATGTATGATGTATTGTTCTGAATGTCATTCATGTATACTTTTGTATATCTGTGAATAAAGTATCTTTGAATTGAATTGAAATGGCTAGGAGGTCTCTTCGTCGAGCCATCAACCGGAGTAAACGCAGTTGCTGGGAGACATTTAGGGACGATGTCGATTCCAATCCGTGGGGCCTGGGATACAAACTTGTAACCAAGAAACTTGGCACCCGCTCTCCACCTTCCATCATGGATGGGGCCACTATGGAGAGGGTAGTAGAGTCCCTTTTCCCGGCTCACACGTTGCGCCCACTACGGGATTTCGGAAGGGTGGATGACGTACAACTTTTCAGTCTTGGAGATATGGAGGCGGCCGTCCTATCCCTGAAAAAAAATAAGGCTCCTGGACCCCTTGATTCTTTTGCGCATGTACAACACCTGCCTAGTCGATACTAAAAGGAGCTGTCGAAGATAGTTATAAGGTAGTATTGGCTGAGATAATGCAGGCTGATAAAACAGACAGACCAACATTGCCTCTTGAGGAGATGACGGAAGATGTAGGAATCGAAAATAGGGAAATTTTGGAACGCTTCCCATTTAAGGAAGAAGCCGATTTTAATGCCTTTGCCGAAGAAATTAAGGAGGAAGGATTTAGGAAGCAAGTGGTATGTGCATATGAACAATTATAGTACACAAAATATGTGTGGATAATGACAAGTTTTGCTTGAATTCAAATTTTCTCTCGGTCTTGCTTATTTACTTACAAAGATTGAAAAATAAAGTTGTTAACTATGACCTTAAAGTGTGATTCATCATAGTAAATCCTAAAGAAAATGGATATTACTAAGATAAATATTTCACCTTTGGAAAGCAAGAAGAATTGGACTGCATGGAAGTACAAAATAAAGGCATTGTTAAGAACTGTACCTAATGCAAAGGCCGGTTTTGTATAGCCTAGTAACACTTTTTTTTATTTCAGTGTCATGTGGATTCAACGTAGTAAACGCCACAGCCTTTATTGCAAGTTGTATGATGGAGCTTGGGATACCCGCATAAATTTGTTTGTAAAGAAAATGGATATTACTAAGATAAATATTTCACCTTTGGAAAGCAAGAAGAATTGGACTGCATGGAAGTACAAAATAAAGGCATTGTTAAGAACTGTACCTAATGCAAAGGCCGGTTTTGTATAGCCTAGTAATACTTTTTTATTTCAGTGTCATGTGGATTCAACGTAGTAAACGCCACAGCCTTTATTGCAAGTTGTATGATGGAGCTTGGGATACCCACATAAGCTTATACAATATTTTTTTATTCAATTTTTTTTTATTTTTGTTTAAATGTTATTAAATTTTATTTAGTTTTATTTAATTTTTTAAAGTATTGATACCGTCAGTATCGTATCCATTCGATACCAGTGACGTCATATTCTCAAGTAGCAACAATATCTTGTTAAAACAATTTTAAAGAAAAAAACCTTATAAATAGTTATTTGTGCAACTAGTGAGAAAAGTGAGCAATTGACTCACTCGAGAGAAATCCTTACTCACGAGCCGTAGGTGAGTGAGGAATGGTTTCTCGAGTGAGGCAATTGTACTTTGAACTTGAGTTGCACATTATACTTTTCCTACAGTTACCATAAAACAAATAAATTGGTGAAGAAACATAACCTATTTTTACACAGAAGTGAACTTTTAATACAGTATAACATTTAACGTGAAGTGACAAATACAACAGTACAACAGCTGACCAGCTGATTTACAGCCAGTGCTGCCAACGTATTTCGCGCGCATACGACGTTGCCTGCATGTTACGCGCTCACTATTTCGTGCCTTCACGTTGCAAATCTGGAGTGAG